CTTGCGCTGACTGCACGAACTTGGCCTTCACTTCTGGATGCTTAAATTGGACTAAGACTGTAGAAAACTCAGGGGGAAAAAATGCAAGAGTCGTGCTTGCCTTTTTTTCTTTTTTGTGGGGTTAGCGCCATCAAAACAGAACAATGCATTTTATTTTAGGATGAAATATCGCTTCTTTGAGAAAGGAGAGCCCATCCTTAGAATGCTTGGTTTAGAGTAAACAGAATCCTTAAGATTGCGGACACTGTTGCCTTTTTATGTGTTTCATATGAATGTAGACAAGTTGCACTTTGCAAATTGAATGCAGCTTGTGTCCAGTTAAGCCACTAAATGTGAGGGACAATGGCACGTCTGGCTCAAGTGACATGATGAAATATAGTAAAACCTGTTACCCTCTAATTAAAACCACTTTGTTCTTACAAAAATTAGAAAACTATTTCAGAAAATGTTGCAAAATATTTTGGAAGGTGTCAGCCAAGTTCACTTATGCTCATTTTTATTGTGGGAAAATCACCGATAAGCTTTTGAAATGGAGAATAGGCATTGACACCTGGAAAGTAGCTTTTATTTCCTATCTGGTAACCACTAATTAGATTAAATTAATTATGGGATTCTCCAGAATTTGTAGCTTTGAGTTGTAATTCATAACTTCTGTGCTCAAGATTTTGGCCACGGTTTACTTGTTCCACTCCAAAACCGCCTCCTCTCCCCTTTAAAAAAAAAAGGAAAAGGGAAAAAATCCTGCCTAGAGTAGTCTTCAGAAAAAGTTATTTGAAAACAATCTAGTAAAGGGTGTTTAATATTATACTTTTGAAATGTTAATTGGACAGTATAAACTTGCAATTACTTATCAGTTTCTAAGCTACTTAAACACAACTGTCATACTTTGCTTAACTTGTTTTTAAAAAGCAAGCCTTTCCTGTCAAATGAGTGATTGCTTCTCTTTATCCCTAGGGCCAAACACTAGTGACTTGGAGTATAAATGAAATGCTTTAATTTTATTATTTTAAAATATGATTACCACTATGTGTAGTACATCAGTTTGCATATATTGTCGGTTTGAAAGGCCCTTTGCCCTTGGAGTTGCCCTATTACTCCCCAATTTTAAACTAAGGACTTCATATAAGTATAAACATACCTGACTCCATATAAATATTATTGATTGATATTTTTCAGTGTTTGTGGAACCATATTTTCTAGGGCTTGCTCACATTTTCTGCTTTTTCAGCAGTCTTCTAAAAATGTTCAAGATGGGGTTTTTGTCAATAGGAAAGTTTTGGGAAGCTTAGAACACATTTGAAAGTGCTTCCTACCTGGTTCTTAAGGATGTTGGACATGATACAGCTATGATACGGTCTAGGTTTCACTTTATTAAAAATAGAGTTTCAGTATTCCATCCTCTAATAAGTAAACCTCTTTCACAAGGAAAAAAGTCAACTTTCAAAAGGAGAGGTTTTTATGGTTTTCTAGTTAAGAAAACAATTTTATAGATATCTCTACTAAAATACCACAAGCTATCTTCAGTAATTAGTTTGAATAAATAAGTGTTGATATATTTTAGAGGGACTAAAAAATTAGGCCAATCAGAAAGTATGATCTAATCTTGTAAATAAAAGGCAAACTCTTCAAGGAGCAAACTGATCCTTGTAAATTAAGGTCTACCACTGCCTGATGATTCTGGATAAAGAAAAGACACTATTTTATGCACTAGAATAAAATGCAGAGATTATTCCATTACTCATTTCTGATGGAAAGAGTGATTAAAACATCAGATGGTCACAGAGCATCTCAGTGATTCTTTGGCATCTCCCAAAAATCTAGAAGCATCTGGGTTGAAGCTCATTAAAAACTGTTGTTCCCGAAAGCATTGTGGCTGATTTTCAAAGTATGGTGAATTTGGAGAACTAGTCCTTTTAGGCCCTGCAGGTACTCAACTCATTCAAGAAGTTTCTCCATCCCACAGAACACCCCAAGGGTTCTAAAGAACTAAACCGAACAAAGCTTTCTGTGTTCTCCCACAACTTAATGGAGTTGTTTTCTAACCCAGATTAGTAAATGGCATAGGCTTGCACCTAGCCTTATCACATCCCAACACTTCAGCTTTATATCCTATTAATATCACATAGCTTTAGTGAGGAAGTAGGCCAAACTAAACATTTCAATGGAGACACTAATATCTGCTGAATGGGCAAATCAAACCCCAGCCAAATCACTCTGAACCATTTGGAAGATGCTAGGCACATGTGGTAGCTAGGCCGGAATATGGTACTGGTAAAGAATAGAGAGAGGGTATTTTCCAGGCTTGGCCCACTTTTTTCTGTTTTTTTTTCACTGTATAGGGAGGTGAAACTAGATTGGAAGTTAGTGTATCTGGCCACTGGGTAAACAAGCATTCTCGTTTTCCTGTAAGTTAGGGAGTGATGAAATCAGGGGTAACCTATGTGTGTGGAAGAAGGTAGGTGAGTTTATCATCTCTGGAGAAGCCTAGGACATGGCTTTAGTGGACAAAGCCCAAACAGATAGTAAGGACTTTGGAGCTGAAGTATGTGTGTGTGTGTGGGGTGGGGGGTATTAAAAATGAAAATGGATTTTTCAAAAGAATTCAAACCCTCTATTCAAAAAAAATTTTTTAAAAGAGCCCCAAACAACAATAAAAAGCCACCAAACTCACTACCACACCTCCTTAACTTGGGATTCTTATTAGAAAATATACCAGGCCAGCCTAGAATGGAGTTTATCACTGGAGAAAATCAGCAGTTGAGGATCACTGAAGGAAAACATCTGGGAAGTATCCTGGTTTTGTGTGTGTGTGTGTGGGTGTTTTTTTTTTTTTTGTGCCTCTCACCAAATGGCAGGGTCAATGAGTCCCCAGTGTTAAAAGTAAGACCCATTTTTATTAGTCTTTAGAGTGGCACATGATACCCTTACCACTGTCCCTGGTCTTTCTTTTGTGTCTCTCAGACCTTCCTTCCTCACCATTAATTTACCTCAGTGATCTTTCATTCTCCTGCTATTCCAGATGGTGGTTTTAATTGGGTGCCAAGGCCTTTACATACACTGGTGATTCAGTCCTGAAAGTTAGAATAGCAGCTGAGAGCAAAGAAAGATTCAAAAAGAAAAAAAAAAGAAATGCTACAAAGAATTCACGGAATTGCTCACCAGTGGATACATCACAAAGACCCACACATACACAGGAAAAATCTTTTAAACTTTGGTGTTATCACCTAAAAGAAAGAATGGGTTGCTTGCTTTTTTTTTTTTTAAAGAAAGGGAATGGTCTGAACAATGCTAATACAAGTCAATGGTTACCACAAGTTAAACATCAGCCTGTAAGTAAAATGCCAGAAGCAAAACCAAGGGCATATGTGTGCCAGCCTTGGGTAAAGCTTAATAAACAATTTGTAAGCAATACAGTACTTAATTATGAAAAGAAAAAAGAGAAAAATACATAATCCATCCTTATGGAAAAAAGCTAAATTTTCCTGGCACTTCCTGATCATTCTTTTAGCCATGGGGCCTGGAATATGGTATTCCCTAAGTTTATGATTCTGAGTTGCAAGGATCTTCCATAACTACTTGGAAAAAATATTCCTTTGAAACCTAGCCTTAAACTCAGGAAAATCTACAAGTTCAGTTTAGGCCTGGCTTTTGGGCCATTGAAAGTATTTGCATGTAGTAGATTCCAGAGCTAGTTGGAAATGTAAGTAAACTTACTCCAAGGAGACAAGGTGAATTAAAATCCTTACTAGTGACTTTTTAAAGCCCTGGATTTAAAGAATGAACTTTGGTAGCCCTAGATTAGGTGTCTTAAGGTGAGTAGGAAAATTCTATGTTTTTTCATCTTTTGTTGTGGAGCTTCATTTTATAGAAACTACACAGAACTCTTCAGTTATCAGAACACCAACTTTCACACAGACACACACTGATCCATTTTTACATCTCTCTTGTTTTTATAGTTAGGCATCAGAGAGGTACTGCAGCTATTATCCTCATCATCATTCTCATCAGAATCATCTCCTCAGCCTAATTCAGTACTTCGAAGTGCATTTTGTCCTAAGTTTGTTTAGAAACAAAACTAAATGTTAGCAAAGTAGATTGTAACCTGGACACTTATTGGCCTCCAGAAGCTCTTTCAATATTGCAAATCACTGTCCTTTCCCTTTTTTTCTTTCCGATTGTCTACACACTAGTAAATGATGGCTCAGACTATTGTGGAGGGCATTGGACTGCATCAGAATAACTTAGCCAAGGGGAGAAGGGTATTGTTTGCTTCTGCAACTTGAAACTGAGATATATGTGTTATTTGTCATGATGACTTACAATATATGCCTCATCTTCCTCTACCAGTCCCTTCTATCCTCCAAGCTTCACCACTTGTAGTTAATAAGCATCAGTCATGTGCTGGTACTAGTCCAGAGATTTCCACCAGTTTTATCAGCCCTGTCTTTAGATTAAAAGAGTTAGAAAAATGGAACAAAGTGAAAGAGGAATGAAGGGAACATGATAGAAATTTGGGTCACAGCGGGTCTAAAGAGAGCCTAAAGTTTCAGGACACGTGTTTATCTCTTGAGGAATGAAGGGTGTGTGTGTGTGTGTGTGTGTGTGTGTGTGTGTTGTGTATCCGTGTAGTCTTACAACTTCTTTTCAGTTTTGCTTAAGAGTGTGCGCAGGTGGAGGGGAGAGGGACTCACTCGAAGTCATATAGTTATCTGGAAATAAGAAGTTTGGAAAGACCATGAGGGGAGAGGAGAGATGAACACATACACACACACACACACACACACACAATCGCCTCCCTCCTCACCATGCTATTCACTGTTTACGGTGGGGAAGGGGGAGGCCAGTCGTGTCAAACGATAGCGAGGGGAAAAAAAATAAAAGGACTTTTGCTTTAAGTTACGTAGAGAGTTTATTTTAAAACTAGGAAGCCGGGTGGACTGCAGAGCAGCTTGTTTATATAAACCCGGAAACATCAACAGAGGGAGAGAGAGGGAGGGAAGAGAAGGGAGGGAGATACAGCGGTACAGGGTGAGAGTCACATTACAGCCCAACAGGACGCCTGCAGCAGAGGCGGTAGCAGCGGCGGAGCGGAGCTCAGCTCTCTCTACCTGGTCCTTCAGCCCCGAGCGATTGAATTACACCCACTTTGCTAAGAACAGGCGGGGGTTGGAGAGCCAGAGAGAGAGGACTGAGCAGAGAGAGGGTGAGGCTGGCCCGCAGGGGAACTTCGCTGCTCCAGCCTGACCCCGCCTGGGCCAGCGACCCTTCTCGCTGTGGACGGTGGAGCGGAGTCGAAGGCTTTCTCTCCCTCTCCCTCTCCTCTCCTAGCAGTGGATCAACAGGTGTCCCAGGGACTTAGAAGTAGCCGGCGGTTTAGGAAGGGAGAGGCAGGCAGTCACCGAGTCCGGGGCAAGAAGAAAGTTGCTCCCCCATTCCTCTTCCTCTGCTCCAACTCCACCTTCTTCCCCTTTGCTCCCGTGGTCGTACAGGAGACGTCTGCACTTGGCTAGTTGGGGTCTTCGGGCGGCTCCGCAAGAGAGGAGGACAGGAAGCTAATAAGATCCCCTCCCTTTCATGCTCCCCCCCAAAAAACAACCCCCAACAGCACCACAAACTTTAGGGAAAGAGAGTAGGGGGGGAGGCGGGAGAGAGAAGGGGAGGCGGTGTCTCTCTCCCCCAGAGATTCAGACATGACCGGTCTGGAAGAAGACCAGGAGTTTGACTTTGATTTCCTTTTCGAGTTTAACCAGGCCGACGAGGGCACCTCCGGGGCTGGCAAAGGTGGGTGAAGCGCGGCTCTCATCTGTCATCTCTCACTCTTCCCAACCCCACCCCACCCCCTCATCTTCTGATACCCTGTCCCTTTTTTCCTGCGTTTTGTTACCCTCCTTTACTGGGGGTTGGGGGACTGAGACAGGGACTGTTTTTTTCTGGAGAGAGGGAGCGTTGGCGAGCAGGGTGCGAGCGGGTAAATGAGGGGATGGGTGGGGGGACCGTGAAGGGGTGGTTTGGGTCTTGCCAGGTCTGGCCTGGCCTGGCTCTAGGCTCAGCTATGGCCCAGCCTCTAGGCTGAAGCAGAGCTGTGTGTGTGTGTGTGTGTGTGTGTGTGTGTTTGGGGGGGGGTGTTACGCTCAGGTTCAGGAGAGACGACAGCGGGTCACTGCAGGATAGGTGTTTGCGGGGAGCATGAGACAGCCTTTGCATTTCCTGGTTCGAGGGACCAGGCGCAGAGAAGTCCCTTTTTGGGTGTACCTCCTCCTCCCCCCTCCCTTAAATTAAATCAACCTCTGGTGACAGGCGCTCCAGGAGGCAGCAGAGGAGCGGGAGGGTCTGGCGTGTCGCAAATAAGCACAGGTTGGCTAGCAAAGTGCCCCAGGACAGGAGCAAGAGCTCTCTGAAGCTCTGACATTTGCGGAGCTGATTGATACTCGTGCGTGCGACTGGGCTGGCGGCGGCCGCTGCTGCCGCTGCATGCAAGTGATGGAACTAGAGGTTTCCTTTTCCTCTCCTGCTATTCTCTGCCTTTTTTCCCACCTGTCTGAGCATGGAAGGCTGTTCCTAGGGCCTGCACTTCTCTGGGCTTGGGAGTGTGATGGGATTCGAAGGAGAAATCCCTAGTACTTAATGGGGGAAGGGGTGGGGGAGAGAAAGCATAGGCTTGCCCATGGGGCTCCTCTAGGATCCGCCCCTGTCACCCTTGGCTGCAGGGGGAGCCTGTCTCAGTTCTTATCTCGTTCATCAAAGGGCCAAGCTTTCTTTCTGGCTCTGCCTTTCCCCAATTTCCCCCCATACCCCCCTCTGGGCCACTGCTGATTTGAGAAGACAGTCTCAACAAAATCCCAATCTCTTGGGACTTGGAGGCCTGGGAAAGAGTAGATGTCCCAGATTCTTGAGCCAAGGAGACTGCCTACCAGAATGATGGACAATAAATTCAGTTTAATGATCAATTAGGGGTTATGGGTGGGAAGATTTTGTTTAGGTCTCTGTTGTCTTTGTACCTTTACACTTAAAGTGTTTTAAAAATCTTAGTAGCCATACATTGTGAGACCTCTGACAAATAAACAAAGCAATTGGGATTTATACCCTCACTAAGAATTTCAGTCTTGAAACAGAATCATCTGTATCATGTCTCTAGAATCAGTATATAATACCTTAAAAATTATATTTCCACAGTGTAAGACTGGTCTTTATTTTATTTACTCAAAAAGACATGTACAAGTCACCCACAGAGACAAGGAGATTGCCACACCGAAACAGATGGTCAGTGGCCTCTGCCAGAGGGAACTGGGGAAGGCTTAAAAGGCCCAGACTGCACTGGGTCACTTGCATGGTCCTTTACAATGGGGAAGGGTTTTCCACACATTTCTCTTCAGCTCATAAGCTGACAATGAATAGAAGTATACTAATGAAACCTCCTTAGTTTCATTCAAATTGCATAGTAATTATAGAGGCCATCATAGCTTTCTTGTCACTCATTTTTAATCACTTCCAAAGTGTGCCAACACGATTTAATGTTGTAAATTAAGTTACAGAATCTTATCCTTTCCTGTTGATTCCATTAATTGAGGGTATGTTTTTCTGCCCCATCTCTTTGGACCAACCAAAATGAAGGATGACACCTAAAATATGATTTTCCAGAGCAGAGATTCTATGAGAATCTATCTCTGATTTTTGTGAATTAGACCAATTAATAATGTAGATCAACACGGCTTATTTTGAAATTCATGGACTCTTCATTAAGTATTCCTATGTTACTCTACATAAAAAAGTAGAGTCTAACTAGTCTGTGATTCAGTTTTCTCTTTGTCTACCTAAATCACTTCTTTACTTAGCCTTCTTAACAAACTACAAGAAGCACCCCTAAACTTTTTCCTCCATCTGCCCCTTTTTGTTGGCTTTTTAAAAGAGATTCTCTGCTTGTAGTTTTTGAAATGAAGTGATGAAAACTAAATGCGGTATTCTTGGCAAGCAGAGACTCTCAATTTAATATAATGGATGTATAATATTTTCTATGTCATCTTCTACCTCTTTCTTAAGTCCAAGATCTTGTTCTTTTGTTGTTATTGTTGTTGTTGTTGTTAACTATTCCAGCTAGTAAGATATTGTCTGCTCCTCATTATCAACTCCATCAGGGAACTCCTGTACTGATTAGTTTGGTTTTCATCTTCCTTCCTGGTCACAGATCTCCAGACCTCAGTAGGAGGGAGAATGGGGCTGGAGGAGATAGAATACAACGTGAAAGCGTTATCGGAGGCTCCTTAGATGGTTCCTAAGAGTCCAATAAATTATTGTTGGAAAGTAGTTTTCATTTACTTGCTTTGAATTTAGGCTGCCCTTAACCTGGCTCATTTGCCTGGTTTTGTAAGTTCCTTCAGGGGTTCCTTTTAATCCTCTTAGTCTTTGAATAAATGTGTTTCATTAGTAAATTTTTCCATTTCACTATAAAGCCTATTTTTCAGTTCATTAACAGATATCTTTAACAGCTCCTCAAATACCCCAATTTTGGTTCTATCTCTAACTTCTTTACTTTGGTGAAAAATGTATATTTATTAGTACTTTTTATTATTATTTTTATTAGTACTTTTTTTTGGTGAGTCTTTTCCTTGACATACAACATACAAGGTTACCTAAGACTTTGGGGACATCTTTTATACTGTTCTCCTAACCATATTATGACTTTTAGATCACTAGGCCTAATCAATCTTATTTTCCTGCAATTTTTTTACTACTTAAAAAACTAATTTATTCATTTATAATTTATTCATAGTCAATTAAGTGAAAAAAATCATTTACGATGGTTTTATAAGTGATGTGTAGTTTGAATTAAATTGATTTGTTGATCTCTGACTTAATCTCTTAGATAAACTTGAAGAATGTACTTATCCATACACATGTAGTATTATTGTTAGTTTAAAAATATGCACAAGTGTAACACTATGCATGCACTCGTGCATGAATGTGCACACACACATACACACACTTTCTTCTGTTATGATTTTCCTCAAAACTTCAGTGATACTAAATAGGAGTGATCCCCTCTGTTGGGTAAATATATATGTGTTTCCAAGGTTCTGTAACTTAACAGAGTTGTCTAATTTGTCCCTACTTTGATGCTGTTATTATAGCTTCTACTCAATTACTTATCCCTCTAGATTTCTGAGGTTAACACCTATCATCTCTCTTGGCTAAAGCCTTCAGCCACCATGGCTGTGTTCATTAGATGATAGGATTTAGCAGTGGAAGAAACCTCAAAGACCATCTAGGTCCATCCCTCACTTGGCCTCCAGAGAGTTGAAGTGACTAGCCCAAGGTCACATAGGCGGTAAGTAGCTAAGAATGGAATTGGGGCCTATGCCTTCTGACTCCAAATCCACTGAGCCTTCTTTCTTCTTTATTTGTAAAATGGAGCTAATGGCAGCAGCTGTCTCCCAGGGTCTCATCATGAATTGCCCTACTGGACATTTTAAATTAGATGTCTTGTCTGTATCTCCTTATCTTTCCACTGTAAAACTCAGTCAGTACCTTTTCTCCCAAACCCACCACTCTTCCAAACTTCCTTATTTGAGGGAATCATGATCATCTGATCACCTAGGTTTAAAAACTTGGTGTCATCTTCATTCTCCCTCACCCTACACGGACAGTTGGTTGCCAAATCTTGTAGTTTTCTATTTTTACAACATCTGTTGCACATCTCTCCTCTTTACTCATACAATCACCATCCTTATTCAGGCCCTCATGTGTCCAGACCACTGCAATAGTGGCCTATTTTCTTCTTCATTATCTCAGTCTTCTCTTTATTCTAATCTGACCTCCACACAGACACCAATTCAATTTTTTTCTAAAATTCAAGTCTGACCATGCTCCCTTCATCCCCTTTAACTACTTCTCCCTTCTGTGCCCCTACCTCCCCAATGAACTCTGGTGGCTTCCTATTTCCCTATTGTACTCTCTGTTTGGCATCTAAATCTTTTCACAACCTGGCCCCTTCTTACATTTCTAGTTTTCTTACACTATTCCATTCCATGAACTCTGTGGTTCAGCCATATTGACTTTGTCATTCTGCACACACCATGTCCATTCTTGTGCCTTAGTATGGGCTGTCCCACATGCCTGAAATGTCTTTCCTCATTACCTCTCTGTCTTGGGATCTCTATGTTCCTTCTATACTCAAGTCAAACTTTCTACCTGAAACTTTTCCTGATACCCTCAGCTGTCCATGTTCTCCCTTCTCAAAATTATATGTATGCATTGTCTACCTCCCTCTTAGAGCAGAAGCAGCTTGAGGGCAGGGACTAGTTGTCTTCTGTCTTTCTATCTCTTGCACTTAGCACAGGGCCTGGTATTTAGAAGAGGGTTAATAAATGCTTGTTTATTGATTGATAAAATCAATAAAATCAGATAATGTGTTTAAAGTATTTTATAATCTTGTAAAAGAAATATAAGCTATTTTGTAATACAGTATGCTGCTTTGGTTGGGCCTCTTTTTTAACCTATAAATTAAATAGATCTTTCTATAAAGATGACATATTGAGAAGAAATGGTTTAGTTTAAACAACCTTCTCTCTTATTTAATCCTTTCCATTAGCCTAGTTAATCTAGAAAAATAAGGCACTTTTCTTGGAAAGAATCAGGAATCTTTTAGTCTCTCATATATTACACATAGGAAATCAGTTAACAAAAAGGTTACAGGCAGAATGAAGACTAGAACCTTTATACCTGGACTCCATATCCAGTATAGATTTGGTCTTTAATGGGATTTGTTTCCTGGGAACTATTCTTTT